GAGAAAACTTACGAAAACAACTTATGACATTGTTAATAAGGTATTTTTTAAACTTGTTTTCACAAGTTCTTCAAGATAACTAAACTTTACTTTTTTATTTTAATTTAAAATAGAAATAATGTAATAACAATAATAATATTCATATTTATTTAAATATGTCGGCTTGATAGACTTAAAAGACTTTTTTTATGGCCTCTGGCCTAATCTTTTTAACTAGATAGGCTTATAAAAAAGCATATGTCTTTTCTATTTGAAAATAAAGTCTAGTCTGTCTTGAGTCTGTGTAGACTAGACTGTAGGCTCCTGTTAGTTGATCTGACATATTCTCACCCCTATTAGTTGGTATGATATACACTATTTGCTATCAACTGATGTATTGATTTAGAGATAAATTAAAAGAAAACAAGTAATATTACAATATATGAAATCACTTTTTTTCATTTAATATGGAATGAGAATAATTAATTTCCACAACTTCTACAAATTAAATCCATACACGGATCTTGGCCAAAATGTGTTTTATCAGCCCCACGCACGTGGAGGATTGTAATTGAAATGGTAAACTTGAAGGACACCACACTCCATTCCATCTTTAAGACATCATGGCATGTGGAGACCACTTGAGATTACTAATTACTCATATATATCCATTAAGCAAGACACATCTCGATCCAAAACAACCAATCAGTTCAACTAGAATTAGAATTTGGTTGTGGGTGCACATTGAGGTACAATTTGTGCATTCTTTTGGGGATTTTTTGGCAACTCATTTACTTATAAATGGCCAAAGTGAACTTTTTTTAAATGTTATTTGTATTATTATATTATATCTATCACTTTGTCAATGACTAATATGTCAGAAAATTTGGTCACTCATCTTTAAGAGTCTTTGTCATTGTGAAATTCAAATGGTTTGAAAAAGTGAAGGTTGGCAATGTATAAAGTACATGAATCATAAATTTAATATTTTAATATTTTAGTTGAAGATTTGTTATTTATCTCACTTCACTTTTGTGTGGGTGCTCTTTATCTAATATAAATGTTCTTTTCATAATTTAATAGTGGTATTGTTAAAATATATTTGGCTAATAGAATAATTAATTAGAAGTTAATTATAAGTTAATTAGGTATGAGTGTGATTCCTTGCTATAAAAGCAATTGATCATTCATATAAATAAGAGTTTGAAGTTGCATTATTCAATAACAACTTTTTCTCACATTCTAACAAGTGGTGCCAGAGTCTGGTTGATGATTCAGGTGTGCCTCTTTCATTCAAGAAATGCAGTTTCGATATCGTGGTAAGAGAATGTCATTATTTCTGTTATCCTCTCATACTGGTCCCTCATATGAATCTTCTCCATGGCTGATTCATCAAAATTCTTGACAGAGAAGACAAGACTCAATCAACCATCAATGTTGATAGAAAATTAGACATGGAAAGTGATGAAGTTGAAGTGATTGATGATGAAGTGCATGTTTAAAATGATGTCTCTCAGCATGAAGGAAGCAATGTAAAAAGTGCTAATGAGGATAGTGCTACTGAAGAAAAAAACAATGCTCAAAGGTAACAATATGCATAACTAGCAGTGAGGAAAAGAAGAAGGTCAGGGTACTTGAATGACAATGTAACAAACTCAGAAGGGGAGGAAGAAGAGCAACTACATAAATTAGTAGTGCTTTGTAGCAGTAATGGTCCTCTCAATCATGATGAAGTAATCAAGCATGAGACATGGAGGAAAGATATGGATTTGGAAATTGAAAGTATTAAGAAAAACGATACTTGGAGCCTAGTAAATCTACCACCAAGAGCCAAGAAAGTTGGTGTCAAATGGATATACAAAACAAAATGCAACGAAAAAAGGGGAAGTAGAGAAATACAAAGAAAGGTTTATCGATAAAGGGTACTCACAAGAACATGGCATAAATTACAATGAAGTTCTTGCTTATGTGGCAAAATGGGATACTATTAGGACTATCTTAGCACATGCAACATGCAAGAAGTGGCAGGTAAATCAACTTGATATCAAGAGTGCATTCCTTCTTGGTGAATTGATGGAAGATGTCTATGTAGATCAACCATTTGGCTTTGAGAATGGAGGAAGATTCAAGGTCTACAAGCTAATAAAGACACTATATGACCTTAGGCAGGCTCTAAGGGCCTAGTATAGCAAGACTGAAGCATATATCAATCAAGAAAATTTTGAAAAGTTCCATCATGAAACTACATTGTTTGTGATGCATACTGAGGACAAAATATTGATTGTCAACTTGTATGTAGATACTCTAATCTACACAGAAAATAATCAACACATGTTTGAAGGATTCAAGGAATCAATGAGGAAGATCTTTGCCATGAAAAATATGGAAAAGATGAGATACTTTCTTGGGATGGAAGAAAAGCAAGAAAGTGCATGAATCTTCATCTGCCAACAAAAATATGTCAATGAAATACTCACAAGATTTGGTATGAATCAATGTAATAAGGTTTATAATCCTATTATTCTAGGTTACAGGTTGAACAAGGAAGAAAATGACAAGTTAGTTTATGGCACAAGCTACAAGAAAATGGTGGGAAGCTTGATGGATTTGCTTGATACCATGTATGACTTTGCCTATTCAGTATGCTTGGTAGCTAGATACATGGAGAGACCAGGTGAAATTCACATGGAAGCTACAAATAGAATCTTAAGGTATCTAAAGGGAACTGCGAACCTAGGAGTTTTGTACAAGAGGAATGATGAGATGGTATTGCAAGGGTGGTCATACTCTTATTATGTAGAAGATAGCGATGATAGAAAAAGCATTACTGGGTATGTGCTCAAGCATGGATCAAGTATTATATCATGGTCTTCAAAATCCATTGTGACTCTTTAAGGCACTGAAGTTGAGTTTGTTGCAGCAACCTCATGTGTTTGTCAAGCAGAGTGGCTTTGAAGCATTCTTCACAAGCTTGGTCAGACTTAAAGCTAAGGTACAATCATCACATATGACAATATTTTCACAATCAAGTTGTCAAAGAACCCATTGATACATGAAAGATACAAGCATATAGGTGTAAAGTTTCACTTTCTTAGTGACTTGAGAAAAGATGGTACAATTGAGATGAAGCATTGCAGCACAGGAGAACAACTTGCAAATGTGCTAACTAAACTAGTTAAGCTCGAGTCTTTCAACTACATCAAAACAAAAACTGGAGTTTGTGTTATTTGAGTATTGTTCAACAATGTGCATGAATATAATGCATGTATCATGTTGTAATCTCTCTTTTTTGCTAGTTTCATATTAGGGAAGTGTATCTTAGAATATAATTGGCTAATAGAATAACTAACTAGGAGTTAGTTAGCTATGAATGTGATTCATTACTATATAAGCAATTGATTATTTATGTAAACAAGATCTTGAAGCTGCATTATTCCGTAACAACTTTATCTCACATTCTAACATGTATCAACTAAGAGATTTTCTCATTGAGAAGGAACATATTACTGGATAGACTTGCACTTGAGGAAGAGATTGTTGTGATATAAGTTTGATGATGCAATGTTTAATGTCTTAAGTAAAATCTAAATTATATAATGAATTTCAAAATAATGTTATAATTCTCAAGTTAGTTAAACGCTGTTGGAGACTCAATTAGATCAACCAACACGGAAAAAAAAATCAGAATATCATTGTAGTTTTATTGTAGAATATTAAATAATAAATTTATTTTTATTATTATTTTTAATTAATCCAAAATTACAATGCTATTAATTTATGTTCCCCATTAAATTTCATTATAATATTTATAATACAAATTTAATATATTTTTGATATTATCTTTAATTTTTTATATATATTAAAACTGTTTGTATGTTTTTAGTAATACATTTATTTTTAACGAATACAAATTAATTTAATAATATATGATAATGAATCACCAATGTTTAATTAACGTTATTTTGTATGTATAACAATTGATTTATTAAAAACTCAAATTAATTTATTAATTATCCGTCATCAAATATAAGTTTTATCAATCACCAACTATCATTTAACAACTATCAATTATCAATCACCAAATAACAATTAATTTATCAAACACTCAAATTAGTTTATTAATTATCCATCATCAAATATAAACTATCAATCATCAACTATCAGTTAACAACTATCAACTAATAACTAATAGCTAATTTTACCAAACTAAGTAATAGACTTAACAATTGAAATCAGTATCTAATTGAAATTCGCTGGAAGGAAATTAAAAAATAACAAAATCATAAAAAATAAATAAATAAACAAGAGTAAAAGTTAAGAGAGATATAGAGAAGAAATGAAGTTGAAAATAAAAGACGTGATACAAATTCCAGAAGAATACGTAATTAATTTGTAGTTGTAGAGAATGAGTCGTCAAATAAAACAATCAACAAGATGAAAATTTGGAAAAGAAACAAACAATATGTCAATTGCCATGCCTTCAATTGACAATGTACAAATAAGGCTTACCATTAAGTCACTATTGTACTTCAAAATTTCCCATTTAATCCCTTACATTCCCAAACATCTATGTCTAATCATCAACAAATTCTCATGCAAACTTCAAATACCCATGGAACATGAATCCTTCAAAAGCTACGCAAAAACACACCAAATTACATTATCATCCTAATCACCAAAGTAGCATTCACATTACACTTTCCTCCACACAAAACTGTATTTTGTTCACTTTCAATTACCATCATGGTAAACAAGAAAAACCATTCACTATTTAATATATAAAAGAAAAAAGAGAAGAAAAATAACATTCACCTAGCTAGAGGTTACTGATTTAGTGACCCTGTGATGTATGATCATGATCCTCCATGGCATACAAATCCATAAACTTATACAAATAATACAACTCTTTACAAAACCATAGTATATATGAGTGTGTAAATAATGGAGCAAAATAATGCATAATTAAGAAACTAAATTAGGCCAAAAAAAGGCTTAACTTAACTTTTTTTTTCAAATCACTTCTACTGATAAGTTGAACTAGGTGTGTATATTGCAAGATCAGACCAACCATGGTTCCCATTCCAACAACTTGAATCACCATTTTGCAAACCAAGAAAGATATCTGTTTCAGCATTTCTAACACTCGGGTTAAGATTATGACCCGAACCCGAATTCACAACCGGGTCACCGTTCATATTCTCCCCAAATTCACCCATTTGGGCCATTTTAAAACCCGACCCATTTGAATTCAGACCCTCAAAAAGGCTCCCGAACCGCTCAGTTGATGCAAGAAGTGAACTAAAACTTCCTCCACCAAAACTTGGCTCAACCGGGTCAATACGAATCCGGGTCGGGTCAGACTCTGGAACTGAAGAAGTTTGAGCTGAAGAAGTGATTGATGGTGAAGGAGAAGATGATGACGAAGTTGTTGGACGTTTGGGATTTGATGAACGTTTTGTGACCTTCCTTGTTCCACCACCCACAGGAATGTTCCTCAAAGAACCACCTTTTGTCCAATACCTTTTACAGTTCTTGCAAAAATGGCGTGGCTGTGAGAGATTGTAGTTGTTGTAGTAACAGAATTTTGTGTTGTTTGATTCACAACGTGGACATTTGAGTTGTTCTTGTTCAGGAAAATTTGGTTTCATGGGATGAAATGTTGTTGGGTCTTGCATCTTTTTAGGACTAAAAGGTAAGAGCTTGATGTGAAATATGAAATTAGGGTTTTGAAATTTTTGATGATTTTTCAATAAAGTTCAAAGCTTTGGAGGGATTGGAGATTTGTTGTGTGTAGTAAGATCCAAATTGAACCTTTAGGGGAAATGGGTTGCTATTTATGTTGGGTTTTGAAGATGTGGCACAAAAAAATTGATGAGAAAATAACAAGAGGACAAAAACTTGGTTATGATTTTTTGGACTTATAGCTCAATGACTAAAATTAGATGAAAATTTCAGAAGTTAGAGGAAATTTGAGAGTTTGATTATGAAAAAGTGTTAGAAGGTTATGGATAAGTGGAAAATGGTGAGTGATTGATTTTGAGAGTTTGATTTTTAGAACATTGAACACAAAAGATGTACTAACATTTATGAGAAGATTGGAGAGAGATCTATATAGGATATTTTGGAGGAGGAAGATGAGTTAACTATGACCACAAGTTGAGTCTTCAAATAGAATCACAATACCGTGTTTTCTCTTTGATCACTATTTAGAGCATTCACACTAGAAGGATTGAATAGCATATGTAAATCAAGTTCCATTTTCTTAAATTAAAATTATTTAAAATAAATGCTTTTAGAAACAAAATGGATTTTTAATCATACTTCAATATTTTTTTTCTTTAATTTTCTTCGACTTTTGTTGGAATTTTTTTTAGTAAGGCCAACTCAAACAAGCACAATTTTTATTGCAAAATTTTTAAAAACTTTGATAAAACTAACTAATAATTAATAGTTAATAATTAATAATTGGTATTTAATAACTTATAATTAATTTTTAGTTGATAATTGATAGTTGGTAAGTTAATTTGAATATTTGATAGATTAAATTTTAGATTAATTGATAAATACAAAATGACGAATATTTTTAATTTAAAAATTAATAATTTTATTATTTATTATATTATATTATATTATTATTTAATAAAAATAAATATATTAATAAAAACATGCCAAATATTTTAAATATATATAAAAAATTAAAGATAACATCGTAATATATTAAATTTATATATAAGTTTTAGGTTAAATGTGTTTGTGTTCCTTTTAAAAATCTCAAATTTCGTTTTTAATCGCTTAAAATATTTCTTTCAAAGAATGGTATTTTTAAAATTTTATATTTACCCATTTTTTGTTCCTAATACTTAAATTGTCGCTAAAACTGTCGTTCAGTCACTAAGTTAAAAATCGTTATTAATTATGTTGCTAGGTTGTAAAAATCGTCGCTAAATTACAGGAGGGACCAAAAATGTGAATTAAAAATTTTAAGAGAACCATTCATTATATGAAAAATTTTGAAGTACTAAAAACGAAATTGAAATATTTATGAGGATTATAAACATATTAAATTATAAATTTTATAATGAAATATAACAAGATACATAAAATAATAACATTATAATTTTAAATTTATTTTTATAAATCTAAAATAATAATAATAAAAATAAATTTATTTTTTTAATATCATACAATAAAACTGAAATGATATTTTGAACTTTTCGTCTTAATTAATAATTCTCCTCCAACATTTTATTAATTTAAGAAATATCAATATTATCTAGAAATTTATTATGTAAATAAAATATTAGTTAAAAGAAATTAAATATTACATCATCTTTTATCTTGTAAATTGACACGAATATAATAATCTGATTCAAAATTATATATATATATATATATATATATATATATATATATATATATATATATATATATTAAAAAATAAAAGTATATTTTTATTAAAATAATAAATATATAAATGGAAGAAAAAATAGCAAGTTAAAAGCCACAAATTCAAAATCTACTTTTTGAAAAAAAAACCAAAAACTATTAAGAACAATTACAAACTGAAAATTAAATGAGAGTTAAAAATAAAACCTTTTTGCTAATATGAATTGAAAAATTAAAAGCTAAAAAAACTCTAAAACTTTTGTCCACATTTAAAATGAAGTTTGTAAAAAAAAAAACATATTTTTGAATGCGTGTGATAAGTTTTACAATAAAATACTACATATAAAAAAATAAATTTTATAATTGAAAATATAGTTAATGTTTAAAAATAATTTTTATAAATTTATGTCAGCACGACCTAAATTAGTTAATGAAAATAACAAAGATGTCTCTATCAAATTAATCATCTCAAGTTAATTCACCAACTACAAATCGTACTAACAAATATCTAAGGCATTTGTTATTGAATCAAAATAGAGTAAAAATATTTATATTATTTAAAATGCAAAAGAAAAAAAATTATGATTCAACATGATAGGGAGTAATATATTTTGCAAAAGCAGAATGCAAGTAATAATAATGCTACATAAGCTTGACCGACATGTGTCTGTGTTTGAGTCAGCTACAGTTGACTGAGTGGGAAAGTGTGGACCATGGCAAATGCACGCTGTAGCCTCGCGTGCGAACAAAGCAAACAGAGATATCATTCGAACATGTTTCTAAGCAAAGATCAGGACCGTTGAATTCTAATCATGAAAATGAATCTGGGACGTTGATGCGAATGGTGTGTGATGGTTGCGTTGAGTTACCGTGACCGCAACACGTGGCGGAACCCGGCGGGGTAAGTGCTCGGTCGAGTGTGACTGACAAGATAGAGATGGTGTCTTCGTGGGAATAGTTGATGACGTGGTTTGTTGCTATTCATTCCCCTCTCGTGCATATTTCCTACTTGGATAAGGTTCCTTATGTTTCACTCATTTTTTTCTGGCAACGTGCACCACAATTCTCTTTAGGGGTGAAAATAGACCTTACTAATAATAGAGAATTCAGGTTATACCAAAAATTTTTATTATCATTATGTTTTATATTTTGAATTAAAATATATAAATAAAAATCGATTACCTTGTAGAATTTATGAATATAAGATAAAAAAATTCTTGTGAACAATGTTGTAAGTTGTTTTCATAAATTATTTTAAATAAATAATTTCACAAAATTGATTTTAATAGGTAAATCAAAATAAGTCAACACAAACAAACTTTTAGTCTCATTGATTTTTTTAATTTGTTAGTCTATTTAAATATTATTTTAATTATTTATTTATATATGTCTAAAATAATATGTTTTTATGCATGCTAATAGGTTAACCATAAACAAAAAATATCGTTTATATTTTCATTCATGCACATTTAAAAAGCGGATAGACGGGCATACAAGTGCTCGTTTGGACGCTAGTATGAATAATTTTTTTATTATCATTATGTTATGTTTTATATTTTGAATTAAAATATATAAATAAAAATTGATTACCTTGTAGAATTTATGAATATAAGATAAAAAAACTCTTGTGAACAATGTTGTAAGTTGTTTTCATAAATTATTTTAAATAAATAGTTTCACAAAATTGATTTTAATAGGTAAATCAAAATAAGTCAACACAAACAAACTTTTAGTCTCATTGATTTTTTTAATTTGTTAGTCTATTTAAATATTATTTTAATTATTTATTTATATATGTCTAAAATAATATGTTTTTATGTAGGCTAATAGGTTAATCATGTCTTAGAAAATGTCAAATTTAGACCTAAAAATAAACTTATGTCAGACTATAGATCAGAATTAAGTTTCAGTTTTTTTAAAGGTCTGACTTAAACTTGATAAAACCTAACTTAATTCGGTTTATTTTCACCCCTAGTTCTCTTTAAGGAGTTTAAATTAGTTGATTATTTAATATTAAATTTAAATAAAAGTGAATTGAATTTAAACCAAATTGAATACAATAATACTTTGTAGCCGATTATTTGTACCCGCGTTGACGCAAGTTAAAAGTCGACCAAAATATTTTAATGCTATTTATGCAAATTTTGAAAAAATTTTGTGTCTATTGAATTACATTTGAATTAATTGAAAATAATAGAACGAAATGGAATAATGAAACAAAACAGAATAAATATAGTTTAAGTTCTATTGTTTAATTATTATATTGAAGATATTTTATTTTATTACATATACTTTAAATTAAATGAAACAAAAAAAAGTATAGAATTTGAATTGAATGAATTTTATTCTATTCTATTTCATTCTATTTTATTTAGATGGTTATGATTCTTAATTTTAAAATATATATATTGTAATTGTAATGATGCTGATTTGAGGTTGACTAAAATAATAAAATACTATTATATATTTTATAGTTGTTATTATTTTTGAATGAATTTGATTAAAATGCATTAACAAGATAAAAGTATTTTACATTCTCAATTAATCATAACCATTGAATATTAAAAAAAAAATTAATTTTTATTTTATTAACTAATAAAATAATACAATGGAAGAGTTATATATATATTTGCTTCTTTTTCTTTTCATTTATATAATCGTTATACTTTATTTTGAATTTAGATTAAACTTAATTTATTTTATAGTTTATTTTAATCACACTCTAATACTAATCTAAGTTAGATAAGATGGTATATTTTTAGTTGGAAAATAATTTGGTTGCTACTATTGTTCTATTTACATTGCATTTTTTTAATCTGATCTTTAAAGATTTGGTAATTTAATATCATTATGCTATAAAATAATTCTTAATATAATTAGAATTCAATTACTTTTTTGAATAAATAATGAAGATAGTGGGCTCTTGGGGTCTAGAACTCCTTGGGTCCTTAAACGACCGCTCTTGAGGCGCACGCCTTGAGCTGTGGTTGTTTCGTCGTTCAAAACGTCTTTCTCACTCAATTTAAGCAAAAATTTCTAATCGAAAGAGATATTTTCAACCACCTTTTATTAATTAGATTATTTTTATAAGAAAATTCAAATTATTCTTTTTTTAAAATAAATCTCGAACCATTATAAAATAATCTTTTTAAAATATTAAAACTTTTTTCAATACAATTAATTAATTCAAAATCGTAATTCATTTTGACAAATACTTTTAAAACTGTTTTCTCGATTAATAATGGAGACATCAAACTCTTGAGGTCCAGCACTTCTTGGGTTCTCGAAG